ACGACATGGTGCACTGACAAACATTCGGTGTGTTGTTTGGCATGCAAAGTGCAATAGAATGCGTTAATATATTTAATGCTTTATTTTCTTTGTAATTAATCAATCATAATTAACGTGTTAATGTCCCACCTCTTTTTATTTACTTATTATTAGTCATGATTTGACCATATATTTGACCCAAAGTGCACTGACAAGACAAGAAACTACTAGTAAGGAATGTTAAAAAACAAAAAAAGAATAAATCATTCCCCAAATCCCTGAAATTTCTCTCTGCCGTGGTCCATATGGGTCCGGTCAAGTGGTAACGGAGGGAAACAGGGGGAGATTTTTGACATTCAAATGTCTCTTATTCAGAAACTAGAGGAACTATTGAAATAAGTAAAGTATCAGAATGTAGGAAAGAGTTACACTCCAACAGGGTCAAGTTAAACCTGTGAGATTCTTTCAAGTTGTTGACTAAAAATTTAAAAACTCATGTCGGTAACGGAGGGAATGAAATATGCAGCACTTTTTGGGCAATAAATCCAAACAGTGATAACTCTTGGTTCTCACTTCCATATCCTTAACAAACTGGTTTGAATATTTGCTTCATATAGTTTTCTACCATATGGTACAAGATTAGGTTGAAAAACCTCTTACTTTTTGACTAATCAGATTTTTTATTAAGAAAGTTCATGGTAACGGAGGGAAAAGTAACGGAGGGAAAATTGTGCAAACAAGTAGAAGGTGCAGGATTTTACATCATTTGTCGCTTTTTTCTTCCGAATACTTTAATATTACTTCAAAATGAAAGGAAAATATTTCTATAAAATATGTCAGTCCTTCCAAGCAAATTTTTATCATTTAAAAAAAATTAAAAATAAATAAAAAATAATGTACGTTCATCAACAGTTCAAAGATGGAATAACACAAGATATGATGAAATACATCCATTTATTGACATGATTTTCAGGTCTTTGAAATTTGGGAAATAATTTTTGTTCCATGTTTCATACATGGTCTGTTTAAAACGTATGGAACTTTAGAACCAAAAATGGAACAGAAAAAAGGTCAACAGTTTCATAAACTAGAGTACATATGTATCTGTTCAATACATTTTTATATCAGATGCATTAACTTGAATTTTTGGCCTTGATGTTTACTTCTGCTTGACCGGGACCATATGCATCTATTATAATTCTAATGAAACTGTAATCACTAAAGGCTTATAGTCCAAGCAAACAGTCATTACTTATTTTCCTTTTTTGTACATTTTAGTTTTGGTACAAATAAGAAAAAATAAATAAAAAATACACATTGCAAGTCTAAATAGCTCAAATCAGTGAATGTTGTGATGTTTTTACCATTGTCGATGTAGATTCTAATGTGATGACGTCATACTCTTAGATAGGGGCAAGAGTGAGTTAATTTTATCTATTACATTATATTTCATCATAAAATATCTAAAAGGTGAATCGCAAATGTTGAACCTGATCGTTTCTATTAGTGACTAGACCAAGAGCTCATTATATTACAACAGAAATCTGCATTTTAACAATATTCATTTTCGCTTCCCCCATTTCTATTAAAACATATCGGCTTTTACAATGAGAAACACAGCAACTGCTTTTCTGTGAGTGTGTCCTGTGTAAATATAACACGTGCTGCATGGAATAGTAAACACTTTACTGATTCAAACATGTTTAATGGAGATGAAATAATGAGAGAAATATATTTATTCCAGAGTACAAGGTTAGAGCTTAAACAGCCAGTGGCCTCCATGTTAAACCCGGGGGACTTTGGTCTGCAGTAACATACTATACACTAATTAGTGTTTTTTCAAGGCTTTACTTGTAACAGAGTGGGTTTCAGATTTTTTTAATAATTGCATAATATCTAATAAAAAGCTTTGGAAAAAAAAACAAAAAATAAAAAAACATATACATTTATTCTTTTAATGCAGCAGAAAAACGAAAGCTTTAGCTGAATCGTTGGCATGTCATCAGGATCAGAATCAGAATTCATGTGTCATTTCAGTATAAAAAAAATACACAGAAACGAAATACTGCACTCAGGTCCAGGTCAACAGCAGCATAGATAATAATAAGAAAAAATAGTTAAAATATTATATGTCAAATACAGTCTTTAAAAAAACAAAACAACAACAACAACAAAAAAAACAGGACTCACCCGCCATTGTTTTCCGTCATGGAAATTGACCAATCACAGGGCAGAATGGTGAAAACGTTCATACGCATTCGCAAAATGGCTTAAAATAAAATATTCTATGATTTAGATCAATATTAATTCATTGTCAGGTTGTACGTGACCAAATGAGAATAGAGTTGTCGTGATAGTAAAATGTCAAACTTGATGTCGATACTAAGGAATAGACTGTACTGATACTACAATAAAAAAAAAAAAAAATAACAATTAGGGGTGTAACGATATCCAAGTCTCACAACATGATATCGTCACGGCATGAACATCACCGTACGATATTTATTGCGATATCGTGGGAAAGCTCACAATATGGTGTGGACTCTGACGATTAGAGATGTAACAATATCCAAATCTCTTGGTACGATATTTGTTGCGATATTTTGTGGAGACTTAAAAGTGCTTAGAACTGTTATTTCTTCTTGTCGTCTGCACTGAAATGGAGCAAAGGATCATGGTCTATGTAGTTCCCTCTGTCTTTTTTTTTATCTATTGCTGCACCATAACTTGTAATTTGAAGTAAAGAGACTTGTAATTCGATTTATTGTGATGGTCCACGATATTATTGTGAGAGCTTTGACGATACGATATCACGATATTTTGGTTATTGTATTGATACCAGCCCAAATGAGGATCTAGTTTTGATACTAGTTTTACCATCAGTTAGTATCAATGAGGGTCACTGCTGTTACTGCATGGCTCAAAATGTTATGTTTTTGTGTCGCTGTATCCACTTTGGTTTTAAAATGAAAAAAAAAAAAAAAAAAACAGATCAAAGCTAGTTTCATTTTTACGTTAAACTATTGGGACAGGTCTAAATGTGCTGCGCTGACTCCCCACTGCTGCAGGGGGCGGTGTGAAATCTGATCCTATATGAACAGACAGGGCATGGGCTTCTTCTAATCCCCCACAATGAGATTATCCCTGTTTGACCACAATGCATCAGGGCAGGGGCGCTCCTGTCTGCGCCTGTCTGCGCCTGTCTGCTCGGATCTGCCCCTGTCTGCTGTCTGGATCTGCTTCCGTCTGCTCCTGTCTGTTTCGCATCTGCTTCGGCCTGCTCCTGCCTGCTGTTGCTTGCTTCTTTCTGCTCCTGCCTGCTCCTGTCTGCTCCTGTCAGCCCCTTCCTGGTCCTGTCTGGCTCTGCTCCTGTCTGTTCCTGCCTGCTCAGATCTTCTCCGGTCAGCCCTTGCCTTTCTCTGCTTCGGCCTCCTTTCGCTTGCTCCTGCCTGCCCCTGCCTGCCCCTGCCTGCTCCTGCCAGCTCCTGCCAGCTCCTGCCTGCTCCTGCCAGCTCCTGCCTGCTCCTGCCTGCTCCTGCCAGCTCCTGCCTGCTCCTGCCAGCTCCTGCCAGCTCCTGCTAGCCCTTGACTGCTTCTGTCTGTTCCTGAATGCTCAGATCTTCTTCGGTTTTCCCCTGCCTTTCTCTGCTCCTGCCTGCCCCTGCCTGCCCCTGCCTGCCCCTGCCTGCCCCTGCCTGCCCCTGCCTGCTTTATCCTGGCCATACCTTTAGTCTAAACAGAGGAGGGTAACAGAGCCAAAAAAGATGTACATAACTAAGAGTAATGCCCCTTTAAAATAATATCACTCAAGCAGAAATGGTCCAAGAAATTACTTAAAGATTTTTTGAGGCAACTACAACTTAAAAGAGGAATTGTCTGGACACCGCCTCTGATTTATAACGTGAAGTTAATTGAAAGGGCAAAACATTAAACTATGCACAAAATCCGGTATTTTAAGAAAATGGGAAAACTAAATCATATCTGAAGGAGCGGTGCAAGAAACACAAAAGTTCAAATCATTTCATACTGCCAACGGAAACCTTTTGTCACTCGTGGACTTACTCACAGATGGAAGAGCAACCAAAACTTTAACTCAAGTAAAAGTACTCTTACTCTGTCAAATATATTACTCAAGTAAGATTAAAGGGCCCATGATCAATTTTGTCCAAGTATTTGAGAAAAAAGTCCCAAGTAGAAATAGTATAAAAGCAACTCTTGAGGTCAAAATGTGTACTACTTAGAAAGCACTTTCTTGTTCAGTAATCAGGAAGTGCACGTTTGCTTGCTAGTTAGCTTTACCACGACGACAAAAGTCCGCTCTGGCTTCTGAAAGTTGAGAAAAGCGGTGAATAATTAAGATGTTCAGAATGCATAAGGGAAGTGAGGAATAATTTTGGACCAAGACAGTAAAAACAAAAAAAAAAAACAAAAAAAAAAAAACAGCTACAGCACCTTCAAAGTATGTACTACTTTGAAAAGAACAATGGGGCTCATTCATGAAACATTTTTATGAACAAATTTGTACTTAAGGCCTTCTTGCAATCATTTTTGGCATTCACAAAACTTTTGTTCTTCTGGAAGAACAAATGCTACAAAGAGTCACAAAAATTCTACTGTTTCAGAATATTACTACTCTGATAATGCAACAAAAAACTGAAAGGCCTCTATGAACGTAAATTATATATATTGTTAAATTATTTTCTAAAAACATATTACTGAATGATCCAATAACATTTATGAGGCCTTTTGTCTATTGGGTCTATTGACAGTCCCGCCGCGCTGGACTCACCACCCCCATCACTCAGGTCATTTGGAATTTATTTTTTTTATCATTATACTGTGATGTGGGAGCTACTATGTCCATAATTACCTTTGTGGATTAATAAAGTTTGTCTAAGTAAATGTAACTGAGTACTCCCCAGCTCTACTCTAAACACACAGACACACCCTCTGACAGGTATATAAACTCTGGACATGTGGGAGGCAGCATCAGTCCAGCTCAGAGCTCCTCCTGGACCAGCATGGACCTGGAGATGGCGCTCGCTCTGCTGCTCGTGGGGCTGCTGGGACTCTGCTCTGCTCAGCCAGGACACGTAAGAAAAGGTTTAAAGTTCATGAAAGTCCAGAATCTGGTAAAAGTTAGAGTTTAGCAAGTAGACGTAGTTATTGAGAGATTTTTTTTTTTTTCAGATGTTGACTCCATGTAAAATTTCTAGGACAAATGTTAAAAACTTGTAAAAGTAAGATGTAAAAAAAGCTTTGAGTTGAGGTTAGTTTTATATATATATATATATATATATATATATATATATATATATATATATATATATATATATATATATATATACTATTACTGCCTACTTACTACTATTACTGCCTACTACTACTACTACTACTACTACTACTACTACTACTACTACTACTACTACTACTACTACTACTACTACTATCACCACCTCCTCCTACTACTACCAGCTCCTACTACTATCATAATTATCACTTACTACTACTCCTATTACTACTACTATAGTAGGAGGAGTAGTAGTAGGTAGTAGTACTACTCCTACTACTTCTACTATCACCACCTCCTACTACTACTCCTACTCAGCTCCTACTACCACTACCACTACCACTACTACTACTACTACTTCTTCTACTATTACTACTACTACTATTACTAATACTAATACTAATACTAATACTAATACTAATACTACTCTCACCACCAATACAACCTAATACTACCACTCCTACTACTACTACAAAAAAAAAAGGCTAAAAAACTGCATAGACCAAGATCCTTTGCTCGGGAATCTAAAGAAGTCTTAGAAAATGTGTAAGGTCATAGGTCATAATGCATTTAGATGTGGACCGTGTTAATACAACCACAACCAGAGCCATTAGTCAGAATACAATCGATAGTTCCAAGGTCGAGAGGCGAGTCTGCACAGGGAGGGCGCTCAGCAGGAGGGCAAAGGTGACAGACCAAGTAAACACAAGGAAAAAGAGGAGAGGAGACGCAGTTTGGACATAAGCCACTAGACGTCAAGATATCAACAAAAACAAACGTATTTTTAAGCGTGAGGAGAGTCAACGAAAGTTAGGCTTATTTGTCCAAAATCCTCAATTACCTTCACATAAAGCAACAAATACACATAATCAGTGTTGGGAAGGTGACTTTTCAAATGTATTCCCCTACAGATTACAGATTACATACTCCAAAATGTAGTTTATAACGTAATCCATGAAATTACTTAAAGTGAGTAACGTAATCTGAATACTTTGGATTACTTGGTTTGCTGTAGAGAAGCAAAGACGAGGAAATTTTCACATAAGATAAAATCTGATAAAAAAAACAATAAAAAGCCCAGACTTTACTTAACCGTATTAAAATATTATTGATAGAAGAGGAGGAGGCATGTCCACGCAGCATGATTTAGTCCTGTTAAATCCTGTTTAGTCCTGGTTTAGAGCTGGTTTTAGTCCTGGTTTAGGTCTGGTTTAGATCTAGTTTAGACCTGGTTTTAGACCTGGCTTAGACCTGGTTTAGACATGGTTTTAGACCTAGTTTTAGACATGGTTTAGACCTAGTTTAGACCTGGTTTTAGACCTAGTTTAGACCTAATTTAGACCTAGTTTTAGACCTGGTTTTAGACCTGGTTTTAGACCTGGTTTAGATCTAGTTTAGACCTGGTTTTAGACCTGTCTTAGACCTGGCTTAGACATGGTTTTAGACCTAGTTTAGACCTAATTTAGACCTAGTTTTAGACCTGGGTTTAGACCTGGTTTTAGACCTAGTTTGGACCTAGTTTTAGACCTGCTTTTAGACCTGGTTTAGATCTAGTTTAGACCTGGTTTTAGACCTGTCTTAGACCTGGCTTAGACATGGTTTTAGCCCTAGTTTTAGACCTGGTTTAGACCTGGTTTTAGACCTTTGTTTATTTCAACAAAGTAACTGTAATCCAATTACCACTCACTGAAACAGTAACTGTAACCGAATACAGTTACTCATATTTTTTACTCTGATTACGTAACTCCGGTACATGTAATCTGTTACTCCCCAACACTGCACATAAAGACAATTCAAACTCCATTCTGAAATATCAAATCATAATCTGGGAATCGAACCAGAACCTGCTTGCTAAGAGATGAAAGTCATAACCATAGTGGCTCATAAATGCTCCCACAGAAACAGAAACAAAAGACCTCATCAACAAATCAGTCCCTCAAACTGACAGGAATATTTCAGTGCACTATATTCTGACTTTGGACAGATCCCGATACACTTTCTAATTGCCTATTAACTTCAAATGTGCACTATAACTTTTCTGGAGATGTTATTGCATTGCTTGAAATGTTCCTCACTATGGCATTAGACTTATTTTTACTGCGTTTGTTTAATAATAGAAGCTGTTTTTATTGGTAATATAACTCTTGTGGTGTCTGTGGAACATTCCGGGTAAAACATCTCCTTGGAGACAAACAGATCGCAGGTTCTTAACCAGAAAAGTTACATAATGCTGCTTTAAATGTGTTCCTATACTTGCATAGTATGTTTTTATGTACATCAGCATGGTATTATTGTTGTATTGAAGTGTCTCCATGGAGATAGATATGTTTAAGACCAGAGTGAAACTTTTCAGGTGCAGCAATAACATCTCCATGGAGACAAACAGGTAGCAGGTGCAGAGAAGTTACATAGTGTAGCTTTAAATGTGTTCCTATGCTTGCTATATTTTTATGTGCACCAGCATAGTACACTGTATAATCCGTGTATCATTCGTTCATTCATTTTTCAAAATAAAACCAAAAATAAGAAAATGAAAAAAAAAAAAAAAAACTATTTTCTTCATTATTTGTCTCCAAATCCAAAATGAAAACATGGATAACAATTAAAACAGAACTGAATGTGGGGATGGGCCCGGAGGTGCACCCGCGTACACTGTCGAGCGATCAGGACTGGGACCAGGACCAGACTGAGACCAGACTGGGACTGAACAAGGACTCTGAACTAGGACTGAACCAGGATTGATCCCAGGACTAAAACAGAACTACAGCAGGACTAAAACAGAACTACACCAGGACTAAAACAGAACTACACCAGGACTAAAACAGGACTCCACCAGGACTAAAACAGGACTAAACAAGGTCTAAACCAGAACTGAATCAGTACTAAACCAGGTCCCAATCTTAGTTCTGGTCTGGTCCCGGTCTCAGTCCTGATCTCAGTCCCAGTCTGGTCCTACTCTGGTCCCAATCTCAGTTGTGGTCACCCAACAGTCTACGCGGGCGCATCGTAGTTTAAGTCACAGAAAGGGGAAATGTTATCCGTTCTTTTTTCCATTATTCATTTATGAATGATACATGGATTATTGTATATTAATGTTGTATTGACTTGTCTCCATTGAAATAGATACGTTTAAGACAAAGCAATGAAACATTCCAGGCACAACAAGTGGCAGGTCCTCAAGCAGAAAAGTTACATAGTGCAGCTTTAACTGTATTCTTCCTTGCTCTGTTTTGCATCAGTGCAGTTTACATTGTGTTATATTGACTGGACCCATTTTGTGTTCCTTCCTTCCAGAACCATGGGGACTTTTCAGGTAAGCGGGCTCAGCTCACAACCATTTGCAGCTCGGTTGGATTTATTTCTCTGCATACGTCTCTGGGACCAGCCGAGTGTGAGTCTCTACATGCACTCGTACTGTAGCGTATGCTTTGTTACTGTTTTTAGAGCTCTCCAAGGACACGCCTGGGAGAGGGGACATTACCAGGACCATACTGACGATGAATAATGGTGAGTACAGAGGCCCAGAGCAGTGGAGAGAGGACGGGAGGCTATAGAGAGGGAGGGGGTAAAGGGGAATAGTTTTGGGGAGAAAAATAATAGTAGCAATTTTTTAAAATAAATCAGAATTAGATTTCATTTTCACTAGTAACTTGCACTACTGTTCTGCAGTATGGCATAAAATGGACAATGTTCCGAAGTATGGCAAAGGAGAAATTCAATTTGTCAGTTGGACAAAGTTCATTTGGTCAAATATGTTTCTCAGTTTATCCAAGCTGCTTCTTCAGTTCTGGTCAGAATGCTGATGGGTGCTTCCTTATATCTGTCTGCAGGGAGGAGCTAACTACAATGAAACTACTCTGAAACTAACACACCTACTTGTTTAGTGTTACAGTGTTAGTTTCAGTGTAGTTTCAGTGTAGTTAGCTCCTCCCTGCAGACTGATATAAGGAAGTGTTCACCAGCGTCTGACTAGAACTGAAGAAGCAGATTGGATGAGCTGCGAAACGTCTACGACCAAATGAACTTTGTCCAGCTGACAAACTGAATTTCTCCTTTGCCATGGATTCTACTAGCCAGGCTGGCGCCACCTAGTGCCTCTGCTCAATTTCATTTCTCTCCAGAGACTAGGTCAGGAATCAGAATACACTAGATGGTTCCCAAAAACTCTCGAAGTGCGAGTTTGGGCACCAGCCAATCAGCGAAGAGCCATACAGTCTGTGTTGTCAACAATTCCCGAGATCAAGGATTTAAAGCCGGAACAAAGAGAATGTTTGGTGATGTTATTGCCCTTCTTCCTACAGGATTTGGGAAAAGCTTAATATACCAGTTAGCCCCGTTAGCCCCTGTCACGACCAAATAGCAGCAATTGGTTAAATTAAAAAAAAGTACCTGCCTACCGTTGAGCAACACTGCAAGGTCAGACGGTTTCTACGAAGTGAAACTGGCTGATGAATCAGTGTACCTGGAAAACTAAGGGATTTTTCACACATCTTGTTCCAAAGTATGGTTTTAACTTTCTGTTTCATCACTATAAATACTTACTGTACCTACAACAAAACTGAAATGTGAACCACTAAACTAATACAAGAATCCCATGCATTTCAGAACCTGTTAGCAGAGGTCTAAACAGGGTTAGCAGCTTTATAGAAGATAATTGATCTGCACTCTGCTGATTGTGACCTTTCAAATTGGAGTGTGATTACAGGAGGGCAAAAGTTCTTCAGTCTGTTTTGTATGATCAGGTAATTGCCCCAGCTGCTCGATAATGCCTCATACAATCACATCTTTGAAGATAAGCATGGATGGGTCTGGTTAGTACTTGGATGGAAGACCGCTGAGTATACAAGTGCCACATTGGGGTAGCACTGCTGTTGTATCATTGGGCAAGACACTTCACCCATATTGCCTGTAATTAACGTGGAGTGTGTGAGTGTTGGTGGAGGCACAGATTGGCTGCCTCACTTCTGTCAGTCTAACCCAGGGCAGCCGTGACCACGGCAACGGATCAAACCACCAACCTTCATCTGTGGAGTAACTTTTGATGAGAATTAAATATTGTTAATTGCACCTTTGCTCTTTTGGAAGTAAAAAGAAAAAAAAAAAAAAGTTTTAATATTGTCGACAAAGCTTTTCTTACTTGTGCACTTGCTCACAGTGGGAAGAGTAACTAAAACCTTTGCTCAAGTAAGAATTAGAATACTGAAATATCGATATATTGTATTGTTTAATTTGATGATATGGTGATATCATGGGCTGCAGTACTGATATATTGCCAAGAGTATTTTTTTTTTTTTACTAACTTATAGGGATGTAACGATATCCAAATCTCTCAGTACGATATTATCACGATATGCATCTCATGGTACGATATTTACTGCGGTATTTTGGACAGACTAATATAATTGTAGATAGGACATGTTTCTGCTTTTAAAATACCTTGGCAAGATATTGGTGTGAATTATTCCCGTCATAATCCCAATAATTCAAGTAAAAAACATATTTCTTTGTGTTGTTTGCACTGAAATGAATCATGGGATATGTAGTTCCTTATGTTCAAAAGCTGTTGCTACTATAAAACAATGCATTTAAGAAACAAACTTGTAATTCGATATATTGTGACAGCCCACAATATTATTGTGATACTTAACGATACAATATCACGATATTTTGGTTATTGGTTTAGACTACCCAAAAATGTATTTCCACTCATCTTCAATTTCAAAAATAGTTTGGGTAATACGTCTTTAAAAGGGGTCAAAATTGCGGCCGGACTAATTTGATTGGCGAGGTCAAAGTTCAGCGCTCTCTCTTTAACTAAAAAGTTACACACTAGGGCTTTAATAATGCTATAGGTATAGGTTTAGGTGTGAAGTCAATCAAAACTGTTTAACCTGTCACACATGTATTCTGAATTTAGGTCATTTGTATCTATATATGTTTTTTTTTTTGTTTTTGTGGCATATTTTAGTGATGAAAATGTACGTATTTGTTACATCCCTACTAAATTATTTTGTAAAAGATCTAGAGTTGGGTTGCCTGTTTGGAGAAAGGAAATATTTTCACTGTTGTAATGAGTAAAATGGGTGTTTTTCATATTAACTTTGCACAAACTTAAAGGTTTAACAAAGACTTTTATTATCACAGCCATGAATTAGTCTTTATTTTTTACCAAACCGTATCGAATTGATTTGAAAATACATATATCGAATCGAATCATTGAATAAAAAGTGCACTGTATCATATCGTGGAGTATTTATCGAGGCATGTATCATATCAGCAACTCCTTAATACCCAGCTCTAGTAAGAATACTGTTAAAGTGTACAATATGTAAGAGGAGTACACAGCAAACTGCATAACTCAACCCAGCTCAAAAACACATTGTATTTTATTGTTGTTTTTCCCCACAGGTTCCTCTGAGTTCTTGGAGGGAGATGTAATTTTGCCCAAAAGCCGCTCCGCTCTGAAGTGCACCAGTCACTCTTACAGCTGCCTCTGGCCCAAATCCTCAAACGGGAAAGTGGAGATCCCTTATGTGCTGAGTGACAAATACGGTCAGAGTTTTCAAAAGGCCTTAATTAAGTATTATTTTATCTCAGCGCGTTGGGAAACTCTGAAGTCCTCTTATCTCCTGTCACAGACTCCACAGAGCTGAGCGAGATTTTGAGAGCTCTGAAAGACTTTGAAATGAAAACCTGCATTCGCTTCGTCCCACGGCAGAAGGAGACGGCGTACTTAAATTTTGAGCCAAGATACGGGTAAGCTAACCGACCGCATTTAGAGTTAATTTATGGGGTTTAGCTTTTTGTATATGCGATGTTGTTAATCACTACGCCAACAGGGCTCAGTTTTAATCATTCTGAAAACCATGGATAGACTTTCAGTATGTAAAATGTTATTGTTTGACGTTGAGATTTGAAATAACTGCACGTTGCGGTAGAAATTGGTAGTTTTCTCGACATTCTTTACCGTTTAATTACAATCCATATGAAACAAACCAATCCAAACACACAAACATTTTACAATCATGTTTCAAGGTCCTATAATACGCAAAATGGACTCTTGTGAACTTTACAAACCCAGAGTTTTTTTTTTTTTTTTACGCATGTTTGAGTAACCCTTTATAATTAGTCAATCCATATGTCCAAAGATCTAAATTCTTGTGATGTCCTGTAGTGGTAGTTTTCAAGTTAACAACTAGAGGTGTGCAAAAATATTGAAATATCGATAAATCATATAGTTTAATTTGATGATACAGTATCGATATCCTGGACTGCTGTATCGATATATCGCCAAGAGTATTTTTTTATTTTTTTTTTGTATAATTTACTAAATTATTTTGTGAAAGAGCTACAGTTGTGTTGCTTGTTTGGAGAAAGTTCACTTGTTTTGACATTTTCACTGTTTTGGGTAAAATTTGTGGTTTTCATATTCACCTAGTGGTTTAATAAAGAGTTTTAGGATCACAGCCTTTGTTTTTTACTGAACCGTATCGAATCGTTTTGAAATATATCGAATCGTATTGGATTGAAAGTGCACTGTAGCCTATATATCAAAGGTATGTATCGTATCGGCAACTTCTTAATGATACCCAGCCCTATTAACAACTACTTCAATCATTCAAACTATGGAAGATGTGTGGAGTTTTTAAACACAGCGCTTTCTGAAGTGGTACATGACATCACAAGGTGAAATAACTCAGCCTAAATATGCAGGGTTGGTGTGTTAAATGTGTGAATGCAACAAAACACAACTCCTGAACCCTTTAATATATATGTAAAAAATGTCCAATTGTACTATGTGTGATAATTCTAATGGGAATTAAAGGTAAACATGTCTAGGTTAGGTTGATTTATTTCACCTGTATGTAAATTTCTTTTGCAATTTGAGAGCCTGGTCCTGCATTTCACATTTACATTCACATTATAGAGAAATATAAACTATATATATATATATATAAACATCAGAATAAAGTGTTACAGAGCTCCAGTGCAGAGTGGTTTTTGTTCCATAAATAATAAATTGCGCTTGGCTAAAAGTCACTATAAATATTAAATATATAAAAGCCTGCTAAAAAGACGACGCAAGACAAGGAAATAAAAATGATAAATAACTGCATTACGATTTATTCATTAACAAAATAGCAGCTGGAATGAAGCTATTTAACAACTATTTCTTTTAGACTTATTTATAGTACCATTAATATTTTTTTTTTTTTTGCTTTTTATTACTACAATATATAGTCATTTCCCTTGTTCAGCGTTTCCCACAGATTCTGACGAGACTAAATTTCGATTTTAATCATTTTATTTTATACAATTTGTTGAGCAGGCATAAAGTTGATTGCCTTTATATAAACTGAAAGCAGTCCTTTTGGCTCAGTATAGAAACTTTTCAATGTTTATGATCAGACAATGAGCAAGTTTGTCTAAATCCACAAATATTGAATCTGATCAGTAAGAACCATTTAAGGCCCATCTCTGCTAAAACCGGACAGAACGATCGAATGTCCAAAATTAAAACTAAAAAATCTCCAGATGAGTATTCTCTCAGCCCAGTGGTTTTCAAACTTATCACAACAAGTACTGCTTAAGAAAAGATCGGGTATCATCAGATCTCAGCCAGGTCTGTGGTCTAAAATTAGGCTTTATCATTTCTACAATAGTTCTTACTAAGAAATAGCCCAAACCAGACCAAAGAGGAGATGAAACTGACTCTAGATTAAACAAATATTACAACTGTACAGGACCTCATGTACCTCAGACCCCGGTTACACTGAAACAAATCCGCATATGACTGTATCACCGTATTGGAAATGGTTGTGACAGAGGGATGTTCTGCTGATGGTGACTCTGTTCTTTGCTTCTATCGTGTTGGAGATGGTTCATGTGAAACTTTACAGAGATTACACATCTGCAGATCATACAAATAGACCATATATATGGAAAGTTACACAGTGGATCTTTAATTCTAATCTAATCCCAAAATAATCTCTTTTGGTTGAACCAGAAGCCACTGACCGATTATGATTTATTTGTATTTTTTTTTGACCTGCTGACCCTTGCTGACCTTTGACCTCTGTGTCGTGCAGCTGTGCGTCTCTGTTGGGTCGTATCGGGGACAAACAGTTGGTGACGCTGCAGAGGTTCGGCTGTGTGCAGCTCGGGATCATTCAGCACGAGGTCATGCACGCGCTCGGATTCCACCACGAACACAACCGCAGCGACCGCGACCAGTATGTGCGCATCAACTGGGACAATATTATGTCATGTAAGTACTGCAACAACAAAATACTGTGTAATAAACTGTTTAAAGTACTACTACTACTACAAAAAATAAAATAAAATAAAATTAAAAATGTAAAAAACACTGCAAATACTGCCACAAAATACAACTGGGACAATATTATACAGTGTAAGTACTACAACAACAAAATACTGTGTAAAAAAACATATAATGTACTACAACAAAATACAAATGGGACAATATTATTCAATGTAAGTACTACAACAACAAAATACTGTGAAAAAAAAAACAAAAAATGTAAGTACTAAACAACAAAACTACAAATAAACTGGGACCATATTATTTAATGTAAGAGCTACAAAAAACAAAAAAAAAACAAAACAACAACAATGTAAGTACTACAACAACTAAATACTGTACTAACTATGCACAGTATTAGAAAAGATCAGAAAATAGTGTAATACAGGTCCTTTAAGATACACTGATGAAGTAGTCCTATACGATGAGTTCACTTAATTGTTTTCATTCACAGCTTTCTCCTACAACTTTGAGAAGGCCGACACCGACAACCTCGCCACTCCATACGACTACTCCTCCATCATGCACTACTCCAAGTAAGACCACTCATCAAAACCAACAGCCCACATGAACAAGTCTAAAAATGCACTATTTCTCTTTTGTTTTCGTCACTTCCAGAGATGCTTTTGGAAAAAACTGGGCTGACACCATCACTCCGATCCCAAACCCCAACGTCCAGATCGGGCAGAGAGACCGCCTGTCCGACCTGGATGTGCTCAGGATCAACCATCTCTACAGATGCTGGGGATACTGACGAGGAAAGAGTCACAGATAATAATATTAAATAACATTCTTTAAGCGTGAAATGTTGAATTGAAATGAGGTTAAATGGTTAAAAAGTTATGCTGAAGTTAAGTGGATTTTTGATGTCCTCTAATAAACCACAGACAAAATGAGAAATAAGAAATTAGTTTAAAATGTTTGGATATTTTATGTGAGAATACAATGCTAAAAAAAAAAAAAAAAGCCTAAAATATAGTATAGTATATAGTATAGTATGTAGTATAGTGATGTAGTATGTAGATGTTTTTGAATGATGTTATCCATTTCTGTATTTGAGTGATTACTGACTTTTGATTGACAGTTCAGTTGCAACTTTCAACTGTCAATTGTTAATAAAATATGTTATTATAGCATTATATATAATTGTCAGTATTACTGCCAAAGAAAGAAGCCTTCAGTAGCTGTAAATGTAACTGTAGTACTTGTAGTTCTAATAGTAGTTTTCATAGTAGTTAAAAAGGCACGGAGGAGTGAGGCATTCACCCAAAAACCAAAGGATTTCTGGGTGAACTCGTCCTTTCTTTAGTCATGTATGAAACTGAAATTGAAACAAGTCAGGGCGGGCATCTGATGTGAAAATCTGCCAAATACACAGCAACAACTGTCTCGCTATGGCAACCCTGAAAAAAGAAGGAAGCACAAACGATCACTTGGAAATTTAAGATGTTTGTTTCATTTGAGTCCCGTCTTCAACAGTTCAAGAGCCAATATTTTTGAGCACTCTTTTGATGTTTGCAGCTGATGCCGTCAAAATTCCCAGGGTGTGTAGTGCTAACTGTTGGCACTGCCCTGTCTGAAGCTTTGTTAGACTTTAATCTCTATTTGAACTCGATCTGATCAGAAAGAACTGACTTTTTGTTGAAAATCAAACACCTAAACAGGACCATGACCGCTTGCTTTGATCATAGACTCCTGAAAATGTGTTTTGAATCAATATTTTCAGACTTTCAGATCTTAGAACATTTTTATTTCTGGTTGCTAATGTGTGCATTGCGTCACCATGGTAACTGCTGAACATTCCAGCATAGAGATACGTGTTGAAAACCCCAGCATGAACGTCAGTGCAAAGTATAAACTGTATTTCCTCTACAACCTCCTGTCGCAAAAGTCTGAAACGGTCAAAAATAACACAGTTTTGGAACCTGCTTCTCACAAAATGCCTAAAAACTTAATTATGTTCTGCAAAAAAAAAAAAAAAGAAAGTATTCAAATATTCAAATAAATATAGCCAGAGTAAAGCAGGGAGGTAGGAAAGTTGACAATGGAATTCTAATTGAGTTCATTGTTATTTGGGCTCATGGTGATTAAGCCTAAATTACGCAAGGCTCAAAAGGACAGCATAGGACACAGCTAAGCCCTCCTCCCCAAACCAAAAACGCACTTATCACATAAAATGCTCTTCACGCTGCTTGAAATGTAAAGTTATTCTTGTTTATTCGAGCAAAACCACACGCGAAAGGACCTGAGGAAGAACCACTTCCAAGACCCCAAAAACAAAACAACAACTTGAATTCATATTAGAACATAAATTTACTTGACTTTTTGTTATACATATTTCTGAGTTCCAATATTTCTTTATAATTTAACAGCACTGCACCTAATTTTTACAGTCTCGAAAAAGTTATTCCTCACTTACAGTACTTTATGCATTCTGAGCATCGTAATTATTGATGAGACGAGTTTGTAAGTACTTTGGCTCAGTGGTTAAAGCTGTGGTCCCCCAAACCAAAGTTCAGAGGATCGGACCAAGCTGTGTCCTTAGGCAAGACACTAAACCCACATTGCGTAGTACGAAAGTGGTGCACGGCGGCAGATTCGCATTCTTTCTTCTTCAGTCTGTGGCTACAATAGTGTCTTATCCCCATCGAGTGTGGAGTGAAGGAATAATGACTTAAAAGAAATAAATTGTCTTGAAAAGTATTGAAAACTGGAAGATGTTTGGAAATATGCGAATGACAACTTCCTTGGGGCTCTATTGGTGGTAGTGACTCTGACATGGAATGTGGAAAACTGAGAAAATGGCCCCGTTTTCTTCATTTTTCCTTTCATAAATTGCCTTCATTTGTGTATTATAATTTGTCTAACTTAATTAAAAAAAAATATGTCATTGTAGCGTGCCATTATGTTCGGCAGATCAACAGTTACAACCAGCTATAACTTCTTGGGTTCTTTTTAAAGAAAATACTGTAAAGTGTATTTACCTTGTTGACATGTGTCGCCTGCTAACTGTAAGCCATCTTCAGAAAGGTCACTGATGTTGGTTGTGACGTGTCGTATATCAGCTGTTGTTTCTTCCTGTAGGCGTGGTCAGCCTGATGGACCTGCTAGGTCACTCAGACTGACCATGCCTCCCGTCGCCCGGTGTTCTCTGGAGGAAGGTGTCTTAGGTGTGTGAAAGAAGGAACGCTCCATTATCACGGTTAATGCTGTACGTGCCTCGTTTCCTGCGTTTGGGTTGGCTCGGGTCATCGGATCAGAAGACAACAAGTTCAAATGCTGGATGAGGGAGGCTGCTGAAATCAGGAAACGAGGCACGGACAGCATTAACCGTGATGATGGAGCGTTCCTCCTTTCACACACCTGGGACACCCTCCTCCAGAGAACGTCGGGCGACGGGAGGCGTGGTCAGTCTGAGCGACCTGCAGGTCCATCAGGCTGACCACGCCTACAGGAAGTAACAACAGATGACCACACCTACAGGGAGCAACAACAGCTGAGATACGACACGTCACCACCAACACCGGGGACAGTTCTGAAGATGGAAACATGTCAACAAGGTAAATACACTTTACTGTATTGTCTTTAAAAAGAACCCAAGAAGTTAAAGTACATAAGACAAAATGAACACCTTTGGCTTCGTTACGACCAACTGTCTGTAAGTGACTTGAAGCTGCGATTAGAGTCACATCCTCAGTGGAAAGCTTTGGCAGGTTGTGATGACCGCTGCTGTTGAATCCATGGTTTTGTCATACATGCAGTATCGGTAACTATGCCCGAAGTCATCACCCGCATGTTTCCAAAAGTCTTCCGTTTAATTGTGAATAGAGCCTATGAGAATCAAGTTCATCTAAATTGTTTTCAGTGATTGCTTAGCATGTATGTATGCAGTGTTCAGGCACAAATCCATAGCACCGTAGAAGACCTCAGATGAGTAGATGTATGCTCGAAATGGACACAGCTGTTTTAATGTTTCATGGTGTAGATTCAGCTCATATCAATCGCACTGCCGATAAAATATTAAACATGGACGTGTTTAGTGAAATATTTAAAGCGTATGAGACTCTGCTTGAGCTGCAAGAAGCTCCCGGAGAGTGGGTTTAGAAACAGAGAAAACAGCAAAAAAGGATTCAAATGCCATCACAACAACAGACCATAACCGTGTCATAACCTGAACGAACAACAGGGTGGCGCTACATTTTTATTCGCACGTGAATCATAATCATTTGGATAATTTCATACCTGGAATTGCCAGTCTCTATGAACCAAAAGGATATTGTAGCTGTGAACTTGAAAACTACGACTACATGACATCACAAGCTGGAGCAGAGCATTTTGAGCTTTGGAGATATAAACCAAGGTGTAGACAAATAAAACAAGGATTACTCAAATGTGTGAATGAAACAAAACACAACTCCAGGTTTGATATTTCAATATTTTTGCACACCCCTAATACTGTGGAACATTTGAGGCCAAGCAATAACATCTCTATGGAGACCGGTAAGTTACAAAGTGGGACTAAACACCAAAACTAGGCCACAACCGAATTTCAAATAGAGCTGCTAAACTGGGCACTACCTGGAGGACTAAAGAGGAGAGTGTGAGGGGAGAGAAGGGGCGGGGTCTAGAGGTATAAGGAACACTGTGATTGGTCAAACAGGTATCCACACTTCAAACTCCGCCCCTTCAGCCAAAAGTTTGTCATCAGAAACACCAGACTGTAATCAGGGCAGTCTGTTGTGATGTCACCAACTACTTGAAATGACATAGGCCACTGGAGCCAGGATACAGCAATCATTATACATTTTTGACCAAAAAGTTGCAACTGTACTTATAGTTTGCAGTAAAATTGCCAAAAAAAAAAAAAAAAAAGTACTAGGAACAGTAGATACTGATGTTAAAACTTTTTGCTGCTTATTTAGAATTTATCAGTACCATTATATTTTTCCTCTTTGTTATTATAATTATTGTGATATGTGAACTACTGTGTCGAAATAATTTCCCTTCTGGATCAATGAAATTTGTCCAAATCTAGTCTTTAGTTCCACTTTAACTTTATACTTGAACACTTTGTCCTGATAAAACATCTTTTCATTGTACAGTTTTATTTCATGTGAGTATTTTTCAGAGGTACATGGATCTAAAGGGCAGTGCAGATCCAGTCCAGTCCCACGCAGTACCACCATGTGTCTATAATGAGAGTAGAGCGGCCGCATCCAAACACTCAGGTCTGTGGTGTCACGCCTAATGCTCCGCCAGGTTCTGACCACCGGGCCGCCTCCAGATCCTCCAACTGCCTACTCCACTGTACTGTATTGTACTGTACTGTACTGTATTGTACTGTACTGTATTGTACTATACTGTACTGTATTGTACTGTACTGTACTGTACTGTCCCAAAGAAACACAGGGCAGGACAGCTTTTAGAGAACACTGAGGGTTATACACTAGTTATTCTGGTCTGGACCTGGTTCATAACTAAAGTTCTGGCTTGGACCTGGTTTGGACATGTTTTAAACCTGGTTTAAAACTATAGTCCTGGTTTAGAATTGGGTTAGTCCTGGTTTAGACCTGATTTAAAAGTATAGTCCTTGTTTGGATCTGGTTTAATCCTGGTTTAGTCCTGGTTTAAAACTGTAGTCCCGGTTTAGACCTGGTTCAGTCCTGGATTAGACCTGGTTTAAAACTATAGTCCTGCTTTGGACCTGGTTTAGTCCTGGTTTAGACTTTATTTAAAATTATAGTCCTGGTCTGG